TTGGGTGACAGTATAATGTCCTATAAGCAGTGAGGCGGGTCACCCCACCCGGCTCAGGTGACTGTGTCTCTACAGGACAGAGCATGGCAGCACTGGTAGCAGAAACCAAACCACAGAGTCGCCTGCATGGAGCTGCCGCCTTTCACTGGTGGGGATTGCTAGCCCCTCTGACGCGGCTGACAGTCTGCTGTGGCTAAGGATGAAGGGGTTGCCCTGTCACAAAGCCCCTCAGACGTGATGTCACACACAGACACTCCTCTGTCTACAGCAGGCGGAGCCTCTCGCTGTGACTCCCAGACCCTGCTGGGCTCCTTGGTCTCAGGCTTGGTCCTGGAGCTCGTGGAGAGGTGGGTAGGCTGCCTGCACACTGACACGGCCACAGGATTCTCTGCAAATCCCTGAGCACCGTCAAGGCTGGTGTGCTTGGTGAGTAGGCTGCCCTCTGTATGCCACTCCCAAGCTGGTGACAACAGCCTTAGGTTCCACGCAGCCTTCCTGCTTGGCCTGCACCCCGCCTCTCCCTTAAGACTCATTGTCCTGTCCTTCCATGAACTCCCTGAGTCCAGCTTCTTTCATACCAGGGTATAAATGATGGACAAAGCTTCTGCTGAATACATTCTTGGCAGATAAACAGGTCTGCCTTACATTCCCGACCAGGGATCTACGCAGCGGGAGTGAGAGTGAGCGGCAGCGCTGTGGTGGGTCATCTCCTAGCCCTCCGGCTCCTGCTGTCTTGGCCATGAGAACAATTTCTAGGAGTCTGAGGATGCAGGCCTACTGTGGTCTCTGAGAAGACCTTCTTGTTGGGGACAGATAATGCCCTAAGAGCCGTGAGGCGGTGCATTTAGTGGGGAAGGACATTCGGGCCAGAGAAAACAGTGTGCAAGGGCCCACAGTTGAGAGTGTCGGGATGCACGTGGAGTCTTGGCCATCCCCGGGCGGTGGGATGAGCGGCCTGGGAGAGGCTCGCGCTAAGAGCTGCGCTGCTCGGGAGGACCTGGAGCAGGGAGGCACAGGAGGGCACGAGGCCCAGCCATGGAGGGAGGGCGTTTCAGGGAGCAGGAGGCACTGTGGTGCCCAGCAGAGAAAAGGGGCCGAGGCCAGAAAAGGGCGCGCTGGGCTTGGTGGCCTGGGTGAGAGGGGTTTCAGAGGCTCACGGGGCCAGAGACAGATTGCAGGGGGTTGTGGAGTGAAGGAGGGGACAGCAGGGAGAACGCCAAGGTAGACGGCTCTTGTGCTGAGCTCGGCACAGATGGGGCAGTCACTGACAAAGGGAGGTCGGTTCAAGGGAAAGAGGCCTTCCTTTCTCTGTGGAAGTGATGAGTGATGTGTTTAAGTGATAGTGAGAGGACTGCGCAAAGGAGGAAAGGCAGGGGTGCAGCTGCGAGAGGGAGCCGCAGGACGCCAGGCTGCAGAGGGTGACAGGGCGGCGCCCAGGAGTGGGTTCCCCTGGAGGGCGGCTGCGGAGGCTGGAAGCCCAGGGAGCACCATCTGGTGGTGCACTGCGCTCTGCTTAGCAGAGGGTGAGGAAGGCGGAGGTGGGGATGAAGACTTCAAGAGGAAACTGAGGGAGAGTGGGGGGCTGGCTTGGAAATCGAGGCTCGCCCAGCTGTGCGGAGGGTCTGCCTCCTGTTGGAGACTGGAGGATTCAAATATGCATGGGATTTCAGACAAAAGTATCTTAAGTAGGCTAGGAAATCCTTACCACTCCCCAAATCACTTTTTTTAAAAAAATTTTATTTATTTATGTGTGTGTGTGTGTGTGT